CCGCTTCGGATGGACAGGTTCGCAGTGCTACTATACAAACCGCCCAAGGAGTTTTTGAAAGACCAGCCGTAAAGTTAGCAGTAATAAAAGTGGCTGGCGAAAAGGAGTAAGCCCAGGAATCCATCTCGTCTTACTGAAGGGGGGTGTTACTGCCACTTGTCCAACACCTAGTTTTAATAGTTATTCAACACTGAAGTTATCTATTTCGTATATACCTACTACACGCATATAACTTTATACGTATACTTACGCGAATTTAGATGCATTTGCAAAGTAGCAACCACATGTATATTTTAAGGTTAATTATTGCTAGAGCTGTAAAAGTAACGAAAATTTGGATACCCGTATGTATTCGTTTCTAATCCAAACACAACCCGTATCTTTCGTATCGTTACTTTTGATACAAGCACTTGTACGGCAAAGAACATAGTGACGCGAAAATGTCTTGTCGCTCTCTTTGTCGCGTCACTATGTTCTTTGCCTACCTCACAAGAATCATCGCAACAAATCTTGCAGCGTAAGGAAATGTTCGTTCGTACATATTTTTGTGTGTTGGAGTTGGTTTTTGTATCGAATCGAACAATTTGATACAATCAAGCACTTGTACCTCACACGAATCATGCATGCATGTACGTAGATACACACGCAACATACTTTAGTATCGATACGAAAAAGAGTTTCGTTACTGCGCAATATGTTGCGTTGTACTGATTTACGTTGATGGTGCTATACGGAACATGCGAGTAACGAGACTATTATGTGAGTAACGACTCGGTACTCCGAGTCAGGTGTTGTATTCGTTACTCAGTAACTCAGAATTAATCTAAAGTCTAGAAGCAGAGATGCAAAGTGAATCAAGAATGTGGCGTGTAAAAAGGTTAATACGCCGTTCGTAATTGAGAGAGCGAACGACGTGATTCTGTTGACGTGGAAACGCCATTTCAGAGAAAAACTATCACTACTCATCGTTAGTGGCAAAAAAATAAAACTATCGGAGTGAAATGAGCCAAAAAGTGGAGTGTTTTTGGTTTTCCGTAGTGTCAAAGTGAAAACTTTGGAAGAAGTACATATCTGTGGACATTTGACAAAACATTTCAAGTCTATCTTTCAGGGACAAAGAAAATAGCATAACTCGGCAAAGGTTTACCGTCAGAGCAATCATTTTTATTCAAATGAAAACATGCCGTTGTTGCAAACAGAAACATTTTTAACGGTTGTGAATAGCGATAAAATAATTTAACATTTCTTTCAAATTCCAAAATTTTCCTCTATGACTTTTTAGTGCATAAAAATATCGTTAGGCGCTTTTTGTACATCCTTCACATAATAACATCCCTGCAAAGCTCGATTGACCGAAACCAAAATACACGTACAAGATTTTTCTATTGTCACATAAATAGAGAACCAGTTGTAGGTTTGTTGTCAGAACTGTGGCGAATGAAGATGCCATAAGATATGCTATTGATCTTTATCCTTAGCATCCTATTGTACTTAATGAAGGTGTTGAGCTTTTGTTGGCGACCTTGGAAAAGATTTTCAAAGCGTCGCATGCACTTGCCTACATCCCACAACTCTCAACTGAGAACTCTCAATTCTTACCATTGAGCGTAAAAACAATCATTTCAAAACTCAAGTCTAATGAAAAAGAAAGTGATTGTGCTACCTTTCAAAAATGCAGTGTCCTGATTTTTCTTTCGACTCATCTGGTCACCTTAGTTATAAACATACAAAGTTGAAATTTTGTTATTTGTTTTTAAATATGGTTCGTGTTATAAAAAAACGATTTAAATCAAAGTTTCCAATTTTATACAAAATTAGGAAAAGTTCAAAAAATTTTCATCAAAACTTACAACATTTTAATCAGTATGCTGCTTCATATTTTAATTTTCGTATAATATTTTGCAAATCTGAAGTGGCTAAGTATTCGCGTTGAGTTTTCATATTTTTTTGCAAACGGTTCTATGCATTTTTTCCATACAAAGTATGAGCGAAGTTTATCTTATATAGAAGAAAATTTCAGGTGCTTTCGTTTCTACCAAAAAATTTCGCCTTTTGATTTTCCTTTTCTCTTTTCGTGTTCGATTATAAAATAAAGGTAAACGGTTAAAATTGTTGTGCTCGTTTCTTAAAATGTCACACTCTTTTAAGGCAATAAAGGCATATTTTCTGGCCTTTAAAGCTTTGCCAGGAAATCAGATGGTTACTGTTATGTATTGAGCGATTAGTACCTAAAATATATTCAACATTACTAACATGATTAATGGTTACAGGATACCCGAAATATGAATTGTACATCACTAGGTGCTCAATCGCTTTGTAATACTCCATTACTTATATTTTAAGGTAAGACCGCACTAAGCGAAGCGACACTGCAGCGGCACTACGCGGCACTACGCGACACGGCGCAACACTTTTTGGTATATCGCACTGAAACTGCAGCGGCTTATTTTCCTTGGCGAATTCTTCTCAAATATTATGTTTCTTTACATACAATTTTCTTCTTGAATGAAATGCATGTGAATATTCACTCACAATTGGAAATTCAATTACTTCAAGTTAAAAATTATAGTACGAAATGTTATGTCGTTCCGCTAGGTATACCGCACTATGCGGCACCGGAACTGCGCGACACCATGCGGCGCGACATTTTTGCCTAGTTGGTTAACTTTGCCGCGCAGTGTCGCGTAGCTCCGCTGCAGCGTAGTGCGGTATGCTCCATAAGAATACATGCCAAGAATATTTTGCCGCGCTGTGTAGTGTCGTGTCGCGTCGTCTAGTGCGGTCGTACCTTTACTCTTTTGTACTTCACTTCTGATATAGCGACTTAAGAATAAAGACATAAAAAAGCGTGATCGTCTTTCTATTCGACTAAAAGATATACAGCCGGGCTCCCATTTTCATTTAATTTTGCGTTTTCGTAAAAATCGTACGATTCTATTTTTGGGTGCTCTTGAATTCGCAACTTTTTGTTATAGAAAAGTTCCATTTTCCACATCGTTTCCAGCATTCTTAAAAGCCATCCCTTGAAGATATGCAACAATTATCGCACATGTATCGTCCGCACCAAATCGTAAATCTTCGTTGCTTCGATAAATTCTCGTTGCCCAAAACGGAGATGTGTATAATAAATAGTGAATTAAACAAATAAAATCAACATAAAAAGTTAATTTTAGGACGCCAAAAATATCGCAAGATATAATGGGCATAATCAAAAATAAATTTAAACTAAGCAAGCTTGTTATTTATGTTAATTTTGCCGTTTACTTTTCATTCCACCGTCTCATCGGCAACCGATTTGAAACCGCAAAAATTTTCCGATTTGCGAACATTGGAGCACGTAATTTTGCGATTTGAAAACTAAAACCCAAAATTTTTGCGAACTCGGAAACGTGAGCCCGGCTGATAATATTTCTGGCGACGAGGAAAAAACAGAAATGGGGTAAAATATTCTGTGAAATCAGAAAATAAAAATTGTCAACCTTTAGGAAAATATAGTAATAGTAAATGCCTGAAACAGAAGTCGACAAAAGTCCGCAGCAAAAACCTGTTTTAATAAAAACAACAAAAATGCTCGGCCACATGGATCCTTATGTAATGGGAAACGACTTTGCAGAGTACGAGATGGGGCTTCAGCAATTTTTTTTGTAAATGATGTGGTGGATGCAAAAAAGGTCGCATTTTTCATCACGTATATTGGAGCTGATGCATATTCCGTGCTCAGGAGATGGTTCTCTCCGGTAAATCCGAGTAATAAAACGTATGCTGAGCTCGTGGAAGCTTTAAAATTATACTTCGAGCCATCAGTAAATGAAATAGCTGAGTCGAACAAGTTTTACAAAGCAGAACAAGGGTCAAAGTCGATTAGGGAATTCATTATCGAACTTAAACACTTGGCGGAAAATGTAAGTTTGAATCCTATCTTAATAGAGCATTGCGCGACAAATTCGTATGTGGTGTAAGGGACAATCAGCTACGTTCCAAATTTCTAAAAGAATCCGCGTTAACATTTAAAAGAGCATGCGTAATTGCTCTGAATTGGGAAATGGCTGAAGGGGAGACGAAACAAATTGGTGCCAAAGGAGAGTCGTATAACACGTGTGCAGTACATCAAGGTCGCAGTAGGTCACGAAATCATAACGAAGGCCGTTCAGAAAAATCGAATGTGTCAAGCAAACCTTGTTTTCGATGTGGCAAACAGGTCACAATGCCGAGCAGTGCATTTGTAAGAATTGGGTGTGTTTTAAATGCAATAAAAAAGGGCACATCGCAAATCGCTGCTTATCGAAATCAAGGACGGACGGACGGAAAAATAACGTTCACCTTAAAAGTGTAAATGAGATGGTAGAAGCAGCAAGCATCACAAGCATTTCAAATGATGACAATGTGGAAATAAAGGGTGTTTATACTAACAGCTCAGAATGCGTAAAACTAATGGTAGGCGGGAGAGCTATGGATTTAGAAGTCGATACCGGAGCTTGTGTTACAATTATATATGAAGCTAAGTATTTAGAATACTATAAAAATTTCGAATTGAAATTAGTGGAAAGTAAGTTTATTTTTATAACAGGTTGCCATCTTAATTGTGCTGGCAAAATTGAAGTTATTGTAAGCAAGCTGCATTGTTGTGAAAAATATTTATTGGAGTTGATTGTAATCAAATCAGAAAGAGATTTTAAACCTCTACTTGGTAGAAATTGGTTAAATGTTTTATACCCAAATTGGAGACAAAATTTTACTTCTATTAATGTCATAGTTAAAAATGAAAATGATATCTTAAATGAAATTAAACTAAAGTTTCCGTGTGTATTTAATAATATCTCGAACCAATGTATTGAGCATTTTAGGGCCGAAATTATTCTTAAACCCGAAGCCAAACCTATATTCAGAAAAGCGTATGATG